GGTCCATTTTCCGGTGATTACATCATGACTTGAAGGTTTGGGGGACTGTGGAGTCATCCAGAACCAAAGAGCTGTCTTGAAAGAAATGGTAGCGTTTGTTTCTACAGCATCAGGGTTATTTAGCAAGTTGTAGTTAATAGCTTTTCCTGCTGGACCGTAGTTGTAATTGCTGCAAAGTCAAAGTCAATGTCAAGAGTCAACAATTGGGAAACTGCACTGCACCTTCAATATGAAAAGTCATTTCCTAATTTTTCCACAATATTTTCCTAGTCAAGCAGCCATAAAAGAATATCAATAAACAATATTTTTTTTAAAACTGTATCAAATTAAAAAATTTAAATAATTAAATGAAAATTTTTTAATATTAAAAAATTTATTTTTATTTAATAATTTAAATTATATAGTCTAAATTAATTAGACAACGTTTGAAATGGAGAGAGTAATATATACTTAACTATGAAATCTGGATGGGACTTCGACCATAATACTTTTTACCAGGAACACAAGGTCACTGTTGACTTTGAACACAATAATCTTCAGGGTTACATTGCTCCTTAACGTAGCAATAGCCCCAAGCATATGGACCATTCGGGGCAGTAGCCCACCCACCTATACAAGAGTCATTGATTACAAACAATCTTCACATTTTGTGAACGTTTTAATTTCAAAATCTCCGATTCTTGTAAAACTTATATACTTAGGAAAAGAAAAAAAAGTATGGATAGATTTGTGAAATGGGGTATAGGAATTAAACCTGTAGTTTCATGAGAAGTTTGAGCTAAGAAGGCGGCGATCTCTCTTTTCTTAGTGTCAATGTCACCGGTGGTACCAAAAGCACCAAAGGAGTTGGCAGCGGCAATGAAAGCATCATAGGTGTAGAACCCCATGGCAGGGCAATTAGTATCATTGCGATGCTTGAGCATCTCATTGAAGAGGTCTCGGCTGATGATTGAAGCAATATCAGCCAAGGCACCTACTGTAGATGCCAAGGTGAACGAAACTAGAGTCAAAACTCTCATTCTTTTTCTCTCTCTTCCTATAACGTAAAAGTAGTGCTGGTGTGTGGAGTGGGAGGAAACATAGAGGGGGGTATTTATAGAGCCAAGAATATCGTATGAATTGGAAGAACCTCCGGAGGCTAGGTGGAAGACCCTGGCAATTAAAGTATGTTTTGTGTTTGGGAAGCTTCCCTAGCTTTAACTATTTGGATTGACCACAAGTTTACCTGCATAAGGACTTGCAAAGTAAACGTGGGGTTGTTATTCAGGGATAGGCACTTCAATAATTAAATTAGTGATATTTTATATTTAGGGTTTGTTTTAGAGAAAGAAGGAGCACGATAAAAAAAAATTATTTCAGAAAAATCTCTTATTTTTTAGAAGTGTGAAGATATTTATAAATTTTTTGAAAGTGTTTTATATGTGTTGTATTTTTATTGATCTTTTTAAATTTATTTAAATGTAAATAAATTTCACAATAATTCATGTAAATATTTCTTTGTATTTAAATTTTATAAACATTTATTATGTTTATAAGTTAATTACAACCTTTCGTACTTATTTACTATCGAAATTAAGAAGTTCGGTTAGTCCAGGCTTTGATCTTGACTCTTGACTCTTGACTCTTGACAGTACACATAAGACGCCAATATTGACAACGATCAGGGACAGAGCCAATGCATGATTGGGGGGCAGCCGCCACCCTAAACTTTTGAAAAATATTTAATATGGTACTCTAATTTATATGTGTTAAACGTTTTTTGATTTTATACTCTGAATCATAAGGACTATTACAGATACAGTTATAAAATATTTGGACCTAAATAAAGGGTGTCAGCAAGTATAAGGTATCCAATATTCCAACAAAAGCTTGGTCAAGTAATTGGTTTTCAATAAATTAAAAATATTAGTTTGGGTCAATGACGAAAGCATCTCATTGTCTATCTCATGTCAATCGAAGTAAGTTATGGGTTCTAAGCCATGTGATGCGTGGTTAAAGTCGGTATCACGGGGATGGAGTAGGATAAAAGGTAAGAAAAAGTTATTTTTTATTATTTAATTTAAAATTAAAAAATAAAATAAAATCTTGATTGGAATTAAGGTCAAGAGTCCAAATCCAAGTCATATTAAACAACAAACTCCCAAAATGTATGAAGATAATATGTTTAGGATACAGTGATGTTACACATTTAAAACTTTTAATTGATAAAAATAAAATTGTTACAGTTATAATATCTTGTAATATTATAAATTTATAATTATTATATATCATTATTTGAATGACTATTTAAGAGGCTATACTTGATATTGTATATAATAATTCACTTTTTTAATATCAATTATATTTTAAAAATATAATTTTATGTGATATTATCATTATTTATTTATTTTTAAATAAGAAATTAAGAAAATTCCTTCCGGATGGATTGGATGGAATAATTTTTAAAAAGTTCCATAGGACAATTCCCTACTCCTTGTATCTTATGGAGATGAAAAAGACAATAAATTGATAAAAGGAAAGAGTAGTGATGCTATATAGGGATCGAATGGCAAAGGATTTCTAATTGTTGCCTCTGAAAATAAATTGATAATTTGATAATTTTATTGATCATAATAAAGTTAAATATTTTACTATCATAGAATTAGAGACTATATTATTGATCTCTTTATTCTTTTGCGAATTAATTACTTCAGCAGCTTAGGCGAAGGGCCCCTGATTACTGCAATCCAAGTTGTCTCCATAACTCACACCCAAAATGACACAGTACCTCTTTTAGTAACCAATCCTATTATCCACCTCATAATCCTGGCCATGGCCGCATTCCACCCCACCGTTGATTATGTTGGTGAAGACACCATAGGCCGGGATCCGACCTGCTGATATATCTGCATCAGACGGTGTCCATTGTCCGATGATTAGATTGTGGCTTGATGGGTTGACCATAGTTGTAGTTGCTGCATATCCAGGACAAACAAATTTAACATTAAATATACGTAATGTTTTGAGTTGGTTAAAGTCGTTTAATAATTGTGTCGAGTATCCCGAATGAAGTGAAAGGATAACTTCCTTTCCAAAAAAAGAAAATCGATTGAACCTACCGTGTGAGTTGGATGGATCCTCGGCCACAGTATTGTTTGCCAGGAGGACATGGCCATTCACTGGATGAGCAATAGGCAGGAGGATCGTTCCTTTCCCTAATGAAACAATATCCCCTCGCATATGAGCCATCTGGTGCAGTTGGCCACCCTCCTACACACATATATAAACAGAGAATTCGAATTTTAATTATTATTAATTTTTTGATCAAATCATCATAATTACCATTAATTCGTAGTTGTTAGACGCATACAATATTACCAAATCAGTACACTAACCTGATGTTTCATGAGAGGTTTGAGCTAAGAAAGCGGCGAGTTCTCTCTTACGAGTATTGATATCACCGGTGGTGCCAAATCCATTAAAGGATTGAGCAGCAGCGATGAAAGCATCATCCATGTAGAAACCATTGCTCTGGCATCTTACATCGCTTTGATATTTTAGCATGTCGTCGAAGAGAGCTGGAGTTATTATGCTGCCTACATCACTGCCGCTGCTGGGGTTGGGGTTAGGGTTGAGGTTGAACCGTCGCTGCCACCACACTGGCTCTGGCAGTTGGTGCAGTAGCCGCACCACCCGTATTGGCTACAACAGAGCCCATTTGGACGCAGGGCTCCCCCTGCATAACACAGCTAAGAACTTCATTCTGTTTAGATATCTTGACATGTGTTTGCTTTTAAGTGCATTATCTAGGGGATATATATAGGAACTGAATTAGAAAGCCGTAATGCGCATGTTCTTGTTTGGCTGCTGATCTGTTCATCAATTTAATTAGGGCTGTCCTTATTACTTCATTGTGTGGACCTTTGAGAAAAAGACCATACCTCTTTGGACTTTTGGAAAATTTCAAGGGACAGGGTGTCCTTGTTCGCTAGTTGAAGTAATCATATCAGAAATTGGATTTTGCTCATTTGATATAATGTCATGACCTAAAACCTATTGACCATCAACATTAATGTTTAATTTTTTTGGTACATCTCATGGTTGAACATGTATATTTAGTAAATAGTCCTTTCTTCTGGCAATTTTTTTTTTCTTTTTAAGGCCTTGGATTAGAATTCAAGTTATCAACAATGATACTTAAAACTCTTATTTAATTGTTAAGACTCTTAATTTATACTTTAAGAAAATGTCTCCAATGATAAAAAATTTAAAATATTGTGTTGAAAATCTAAAAAGAATAAAACAAAAATATATTTTTCATGTTGCCTTTACATTAAAAATGTAATTTAGAAATTAAAATTACTATAATACCTTTATAGAACTTATGATCTTCTAATATTCTTTATAAGTTAGTTATTATAAAATGGTAAATAAAGCTTGGATGGCAGTTTAATTTGCTGTGGTGTGGACCCTTTGGCTCGGTAGAAATGAAAAGGTTTTCCATGATCCTGAGGCCAGCGCAATATAATAATTATACTCAAAATATATAAATATATATATACATGAATCTAATATAAAAATTTATGTAAAATTAATTAAAAATACCTTAATTAATGAATCTTAATCTATATATTTAGAGTACAAATTAGATAAAGTCTTATAAATTTACAATAATAATGTCATTATATGT